CATCTAACATGCAAACCATTTTAGCGGCCAGTAGCGAGCCACTTAAGAATCTTCCCAAAATTGCTGATAAAATTCACGAGCTGGCCATTCCCAGCGCAAATACACGCAGTGCAGGTTGGTCCAGGTATTGTGGCGTTACAGGCTCAAATTGATGATTTGTCCAAACAAGTTGCTCAATTAGTAGCCATCCAAGCTGAACCTTATCAGCGCAACCGCTCCACATCACGTGGTCGAAATGCACTTCGTAGCCCACTGAGGAAACGTTATGAAAGCCCTCCTCCGGGTATTTGTGTTTACCACCACAAATTTGGAAACAAGGCAAAAAATGCCGCCCACCGTATCGGTATAACGAATAGGGAAACGAGAAGGGTCGTTGCTCGAGGTCGTGAACGACAGCGGCTCGAATTTTGTACGCCTTTTCGTCATCGAAAAGAATTCGGGCTTAACGTTTCTTGTAGACACCGGGGCTGATGTTTTTGTCATTCCACCACATTCTCACGAACAAAAGCGCCTTACCATGTTACAATTGTATGTAGCAAATGGAACTTCTATTCAAACTTTTGGTGAACGCCTGATATCTGTTGATTTAGGATTGCGCCGCAACTTCCAATGGTCATTCACTATTGCTACTGTTTCAAGTCCTATTATTGGCGCTGACTTTTTACAAAAATTTTCTTTGCTTGTCGATCTTAAGAATCGCCGTTTGATAGATTTCACAACCAACTGAGAATTCCCTACAATCACGCGCCCAGTTATGGGTATTTCCAAACCCAAGCACGATGTACTACATTATATTGAAACTACAGAACCTCCAATTGCCGCTAAACCAAGGCGCATACCTCCGGACAAGTTTTAAAGCCGCCATAAGAGGAATTTCAATCCATGATGGAACAGGGAATTTGCCGTCCTTCAAAAAGTTCTTGGGGCAGTCTGCTTCATCTAGTTCGGAAACGGAATGGTAAGTGGCGATTATCGCCGGTTAAATGCAGCTACAATTTCTGATCGTTACCCAGTCCCGCACATTCAAGACTGTATGCAAGTGTTAGAGGGAAAATATATTTTTACAACCTTTGATCTTGAGCGGGCGTATCACTAAGTACCCGTTAACCCAGCTGATATTCCAAAAACTGCGGTTATTACGCCTTTTGGACTATTTGAGTTTCCGGTCATGACTTTCGGCTTATGCAATGCTGCTCAAACGTTCCAACGCTTCATGAATCAGGTGTGAAACGGCCTCGACTTTTGTGTACCTTATTTTGATGACGTCTTAATCGCCTCCTCTTCAGAGCAAGAACGCCTATCATATTTGAGAACAGTTTCTTGAACTTTTTCAAAGGTACGGTGTCAGTCTTAATCCTTCCAAATGCGTTTTTGACCAACCAAGAGTATCCTTTCTTGGTCATGAAATTTCCGCTGATGGCTAATTTCTAAGGGAACCACTTTATTGGAATTACTTTTGGTTTTGACTTTAAGCCTTGCCTGCATGAATGACGAAACACGAATTGAATGATTGGAGAGTTAGGTTTGGAGGCACTTCCCCTTGATAAGTCTGTCTCCTGCCTACTTAACGGTCATTCACATATGCATTTTTAAAAAAAAAAATGTTTAATTTAATTTAATTTATTAAAATTAGTAAATTTATTTTCATGGATAGATTTTGCACTTGATTTGCTATGCTTCTGAATTTAAATGATATTGTAGATTAGTTCGAGTATTAAATCTTTATATGTTTGCACATTTTTTAAAAATTATTTGGTTTTTTCCTTTTTTAGGATTAAATTGCTTTTTTTTTTTTTATATTTGTTAAAAATTAAATTTAAATTTGTTTAAATTTTTAGATGCGATAATATTTTTGGTCGCATGTGACAAAAAATTTTATTTAATGATTTGAGGATTTTTCAGATACGTTTTATATTTGGTCACTGAACAACGCATATACAGTAGTCATATTGTTGCTCATTAAAATTAGGTTTCAAAATAAATGGAGACAGGCAAAAAACAATCAGCGTTCAAAGTTTTGATTACAAAAGTATTATTTAAATTTTACTGCTACATCAATAGCAATGTCGTCTGCCAAAAAAGTGCATCTAATTTTTTTTTCACCTGGCATTGTTATACAGCTAAACCAAATTGATGAAAGCACTGTATAGGAAAGTCATTTTATTGCTTAGTGCTCGGATATCATTTGCCTTGCGACCAATCGCGAGAACGGATTTTTTCCAAATGTTCATGGTGCGGTGCAGTCTGTTTGAATGCAAGAGGTTAATACAAGCGGACCATAAGAGGTAATTGCATTGTTATGGTCTTACGAAACAATCAGACAAATAGCGAATACTGAAAGAGGTACTTAGGTTAAAATTCAAGTTAGAATTAATTTTTTGAAATATTTTAAGCGAATAATATTTTAAATTATGGACATTTTGTGTGCGGAGAATTACTTACGGAAACCTTGTATTACACATTCTGTATAATTATCGATTTGTAATTTCAAAAACATTTATTACTTCTTATTGAAACATTCATACAATTAAACCTGCCCATTTAATTATTTTTCTTTTGGTAATCACTTTTGTTGTAGATTCCGATATTAATCAACATGAATCCCCAATAAGGGTCGCTTATGAGCGAACACGTTACTGGAGATGCCTGGATGACTTTGAATGATGCCGACACGCCGAATAAGCTTGTTCTTGTTTTGTATAATTCATAAATAGTTCTTGAATTAAATTTCGTAAATCCAGTTAGACCTGGTTGTTGATTCTATTAAATTAATTAACTAGTTAAACAGAAGAAGGATTTGATGAACATTTTAGATATAACCACAGAAATGCATATGGTCTCAGAAAGCGAGATCTTAGGGTAAGCTCTATTGCTTTGATTATCCTTTGTCAATGAAATTTATGATACAAACAATAAGAGAATAATTTTCTTTATTTCGTGCTCGAATAGCACACACTAGTAGTCTCAAACTGGGGGCCCGTGAGCTGCATGCTTCCTTCGAACCAATTTTATGCGGCTCGCGAATACATATTTTGTAAATCAATTAGCATTACTATGACAAGAATTTGAAGCAAGGTATAAGATTTTTTTATGCTCTTGAGTCCAGTTTTACATTATTTTTCATTACCTTTAAAAATGTACGTGAGAATATAGAACATAAGAAATCTACAAAGAGCTAATTAATTTACACTTAACATAAATCTTATTCAAAGATTTGAAGATGCAGATTTGATTAACCTTTCTTCGTACTTGCCATAAGATAAATATCCTCAGTTATTAATTCTTGTTATAAGAATAATCGCTTTGTTTGGGAGTACATTTTTGAAGTGAACAATTTTTTTCTCCTGAATTGAAAATTAATAAGTCTGATAAAAAAGGTCTCGATGGTTGGAAACTTTATCGGAATCGAAATGCCATGAAATGACGTAGCTGAAAACTGTAGTAAGAAATAAAGAAGTTTATAATTATTTACATACAAATACATTATTTCTTTCTGTATGCATCAAAGGAAAATTTAACAAATAAAAGAAAGATAATAGATTGTCTCATTATTTATTCTTAAGTTTCATCCCACTTTAAAGGTTTTCGCCATTTGTTTATTTTTAGATTAATTAAATTATTTAATGGTTAATTTAACACATTAAAATTATCTGGAAAAAAAGATTAGTCTAAAAATTTAGTAATTAGCTCTCAATACATTTGTATCACAAATTTTAATTAACAGAAATTTCTTTCAGATCTCAACCTTTAGATTTCAGACAGATAATTGATCTAAATAGGATTATTTTCATTTTTGAGCCAGTATTATTACCGTTTAGGTATGTTTGCTAAATATTTAGTAAATAAAATTTAAAATAGAGTTAAAAATTTGTTTTGTTAAAAAATTTTCAGTTTGGTCAAAAAAAGGAGGGGGAGGTCAATATAGCTGCTTTTACTTGCATTTGAGTTTAAGACCACTAGGCTATGCTATTAAATTTAAAGAATTATTTGCGCTTTAAGTTCTGCTTTAATGTAAAATCGGAAGAGAAAATTTGGCTCAACGAAACATCAAGTTAATTTGAGATTTTATAGAACCAAATATCGAAATGTAAATTACCAGTGTTAAAAGAACGACGCTTAAATCTCTTACAACGAAATCTGTTTCTAAAATCTACACTAAAATTTTAGAAAATGACATAGAAGTAGGAGAGTTGGAATTACTGTTAGGAAGAATAAATATGAAATTTGAGCAGTTAAAAAAAAAAAAAAAAATAGATTCCAAAACTCAAAATCACAGAAATAAAAGAAATGTTAAGTGAAGTCATTAAATGCGATGACTATCATGTAAAACTGATAATTTGTACATTTAAATGTGGCGGTGGTATTGACAAATGCAAACCAGATATATAAAGATCACAGGAAAAACCTATCCCTACGTTGCGGTGGTGTGGCTTATTTCACATGTCTCACACTAACATCAGAACAAGCCCACGAAATTCATCGTGGCGAGGAGAGCAAGATTTCGTCTGTCGTTCGCAAGACCTTGAGCATCATACAGGTGATAGTACGACTTCGCTCGGTTCCGCTCCAAGTTTTGAAGGACAGCACCACGGAAACACTACTAAAATCACCACCGACCCTAGGACTAATGAGTCTCTCGGTGTAATTATCAGATTGGCAGATGACATCTAATATCCGTTATCCATGATTACAGCTAGGAGGCAGGTTGGCGTTTTTCACAATTCTCCAAAAGGTTACAGTGCCACATATACATACAGTTTCACATAGACATTTTTACATATAATACTATAAATTTTCGATGCTAGGATGTTAAATACAGCTGTTTGTTATGACTTACTTAGCTTAACAGTTACATTTCCTATTTGTTGGATATTATTAAATGTTCATTTTACTAAACAGTTTAAAGGGGTTACTTTGCAAAAAGATTAACAGAGCACATTTCTAATTAAATACAAAATTTACAAGTTGCGCAAGGTTAATAGATCCCGTTATGAATTAAATACAAAGTTCACACTTTTATCTAAACAAATAGTTATAAGTGAATCGATTAAAATCAGTATACTCAAATGACCAAAGTAAATGCACTTATTATAAAACTATAGCTACATACATTAGAAGTTACATAATTGTTGAATAGAGAATAATAAATTTGCCTATAGGACTTGTAGAGAATAAAATATACACTCTACTTTCTTTAAAACAAAAAAATATACCAAGGATTATGTTTTACGGAGTCCTTATGGTTCGGAACGATTTACCTCCACATCAGAATAGTATACTAAATAGAGAGCAGAAATAGGAAAATTACATAAAAACAAAAAATATAGGGTAAAAATATTATTATATATTCCTTATTATACAACAAATATATTACTGATTACAGAGACACAAATCATATTACTATATATTCGTTATAATACAACAAATATACTACTGTATGCACAAGGAAGCTATGAACCCATATAGTACAAAATAATTATAAGTTATAAATTAGATACAATGCATATATGTATATATTGGATACTAGAGAAACAAACAAAATATAAAATGGATGGCTTGATCCAACTAAATGTATTAGATTAATGAGACTAATGTGTTTGTGTTGGAGAAGGAGACGAGTCCGGGGGTCGCCCACCCCTCTTTCCCTACCACCAACCTATCGAGAGGATTTTCGGGTCGCCGCATGTTTAGAATGCCCTCTTGCCGCACACACACTATACATTTACAAACATCCATGCATTCTCCGGGATTTGAACCCAGGCCCTTCGACACTACATTAGGTTCCCCTAACCACTACACCGTCTGCGCGACCCTATTCTTCGGTTAAAAACCGTCTGTTAAATCAACTTCTTTAGCAATAAGAAAATTCGATGGCGATTTCGCCGATTTGCAGAAATTTGCAGTTTCTATCTGCCATCCACCGAAATTAAGATGCAATCAACGTAGACAAATCAATTATTTAACTTTATATTTAACCGGATCAGCTGCGAATGCAATCAAAGGAACATTCACGAATAGAAATTACGAAGCAGCTATAAAAACGTTTAAAGATGGATCTGAAAAGAAGACTTTTGTTGTTAATTCTCGTTTAAATAATCTGCTGCATCTAACACCTATTACGAAATTATCGAATATGTCTTTTCTTAGAAATTTGCTGAGATACATATCAAACGGAAATTTGCAGTTAGATGAGCTTAGAGTAAACTCAGTAAGCTGTGGAACTCTAGTCTCCTATATTAATTAAACTAATACATCAAGATACCGTTCTAGACATTAGCAGAAAAAGAGAACCAGAAAAGACTGGAAAATTTCGAAAATAATTAATATTCTAAAAAAAGATTCAGAATTCAGAGAAAAAGCCCTATTTGGAATGCAGAGCAAGTCCAGCCCCGTTCAGAATCAAATTATGAACCCAAGGTTTCAGATTTTAAATTACGTTCAAAGGGGCGTTTATTTAACGCTTTGTGTGTTACCTTTATTTATTAAATATAATGTTCTTCGCACTTAAGCCATAAAATTCAGTTCAAGAGCAATATCGCAAAATAATTTTAAATTGAGCATATCTAGAATTTCCGAAACACAGTCTCACGCGCTGGAGATAAAAATGCTTTTTCTGTACAACGTTGCCGTTGCTCACTTTGAAATCCTTGAGTTTGTTAATCAAAAATTCGTTAAAGTCATACTAAATATGAATTCGATAATAAAACAAATTTCAGATTTCAAATTTGGGTTTCCAGATGCCCACATTCTCAGAAGGATTATGTCATTCAAAATTCAATGGTTCTAGGTACCGTTGTTTTATCACAATGCGAGAAACATAAATACATTTATGGAGGTTCTTCATTATTTAATTTCTTCAAATATAATGCAGGGCGAACTATTTTTCACTTATTACGTGCTCCGCCCTTTGGCACTACAGGGAAAGGGAGGGATGCCCAGAGGAGGTCTTTTTAAGGGAAACTGCCTCATTTCCTGGTTACACATGGGGAAAACCACGAAAACGCCCATGCAGCCAGCACGTTCGCTAGGATTCGAACCCCGGACCGAACTACCAGTGTTCAGCGGCTTTTACCGCTCGGCCGCTGGTGAGCAGCGATACTATTTGGTGGTAACTGTTTGAAACGTGAAACGGACGAAAGGAGTGATTCGACGCAAAATCGCAAAACGAAAACAATAGTCCCTCAGGGACAAAGCCCCTTTGGATTAATTAAAATTAAAAAAAAAAAAAAAAAGAATTGAAGAAAAAAAAAATACTAAATTCATACTTTTTTTTTTTTTGCTTTATTCTCTAAGAATATTTTATTGCAAGATTATCTTATTATCATACATGAATGCAACGTATGTCCGAGAAATATGAAAAGAAAAATGTCAAGACTGTAACAACTTATCAGGGGTTCCCAACAAGGCCAGGGGGACGATATAGACTCTCTGGGGTCAATAATTTTTTTAGGGGGGTCAGCGATGATCAAGGGGCGAATATGCACAAGCAACTGATCGGCATAGTCAAAATACCGTTGATTACAAAAATGTATTACCAAAATTGATAATTAATTGTTTATTGATATGAAGATTTATCATACAAAAAAGTCAAGTTTTATTCAAAACACATTTCATTAGTGCATTCGGTACATTAAGTTTTGTCATCGAGATAATTTAAAAGTTGTTCGAGAGAAATATTCCTGAATTATATCTGATACTTGACCAGCATAAATGACTTTTCTTGCTAAGTGGAAGCAGGCTTTAATCAATAACTTACTACGAAAAAAAGGAATAGGTTGAAATTTCTGAACAAAGTGACTTAAGAATTAAGTTAAGCAAGTTTATGCTAAATATTCAAAAACTGCATCATTACATCAAGCGCAGACATCACATTAATTAAAATCGAACTTTCGGGCAATTAAAATCTGTGATTTTGTGTCTCATTATTAGTTTATATTTGAAAAATTAAAAATGATAAGAATGCAAAAAATAACAAAACATAATTCTAATAACTATTTTTTTTTTTTAACTTTAGTAAAACCCTAGGAAAGAAAACGTCTGTGTATAGTATATATTCTTAGCCTATGATACGGTAGCGCGATTTTGAAAATTGTCGCCACCACCAAAATGCCTCGATTTCTTTTCATCATAAATGCGATTTCTTTTCATCATAAATGCCGCGTTTACTGCTCATCATAATCTCGCCAAATCCCGCGTGTACCGTGTACTGGGATTAAACAAAAAAAAAAAAAAACTTTTTCATAATCGTAGTATAATTGTTATCTTTCAGTTATGTATACACAATTATTTGTGTTATGATTATTTTATATAATTATTTATATATTATTTTATTATATTATATTTTTATATAAAGAAAACCGAGAAGATACATGATATATATTACAGAGAAGAAACATAACATATACTGCGGAGAAAAATGTAAGGGGGCACCCTTCCTTTTTTTTTTTTTTTTTTAATAGGGGTCGAAAGGGTGGGAACTCTTCAGCTATACAGTTACTTATTTATTACTCTTTATATTCAGCTATTTTAGTTATTTAATATGCAATTTACATATAGGTACTTCATTTACTTAATATGCTAAATACACATATTCCTATATGAAGATAAAAATCGCTGGAAGTGCTTTTATTTATTTTTAGCAATTTTTTCTAAATTAATTAGTCCTTAAATGTTTCAATTTTTTCTTTTTGGATAGAAATTATTTTTTAAAGGGGTTTGTAAACTTTTTCTTATTTTATTCACTTTTGTTATTCTTTTGAAAGTATTCCTTCTGTTGCTACTGGCAAATGAGGGATACATAAAAAGTAAGTAAGAGAGGTAAAAGGTAAAGTAGTAAAAAAAGTAAGTAAGGAGAGTAAACTAAATTGCTACGTTAGTAAAACATTTATTTTCCTATATTTCTTATTTGAAAAATTTAATTCAAATATTTTAATTCTGTTACACCACGAATTTTCAACCTTTTTCCCATGCTTCTGCAATTCTCAACTGAAGTCATTCTCTTATCAAAATGTTCATAGCATTTTCGAAGATTTGTAAGATTTGGGGAAAAAAAAAAAAAAAAAGTCATTGCAGTTCGAATTAAAACGTAAAAACAGTCTGATTTGCATATTTTAAAACTGGGAATGGCTCAGCTTTTATTCAATTAATGCCTTCTAAAACTTGTTTAAGAGGCATTAGTCTCATGCTAGAACATTTGTTTTCATCTAAACTAATTTACAGAAGAGCTTTCCTTTTCACCCATCGATATGTATTATTTTTTATGTTTGAAAATTTAATATTGTCTTCTAGATTTACTTTTTCTGTTTGTGTGATTTCTTATCCATTTACCTTTCAGAAAACAAAACAATGCATGTATTCTTATCTTATTTTCTACTGATGAAATGAGAACGGGAAATTCAGCCAAAAGAAATAATCTAAATTCAAATTTTTTTTTGGTATAATCTAAGTTCAGATTTATCAGCTTTTGGTAGGATGAATGCTAAAATGCTAGATGATTAAAGCAAATAAAATTGATCTGGCTTGTAAAATGCCGCCCTACACTGCACTGAAGGGAAGATACAAATTCATGTCTCTAATTCTGTCATATCATTGTTACTATTATTATCCAGAAGGAAAAACAGAATGCTAGATCTGACAGAAAACGAATTAAAACAGTAAAAATTTTATAAAAAAATACTACATCTAGTATAAAAGTAACAATGCTTACCCTAATCCCATACATAGCTCGGGAGAAAATGTACTTTCGTTAAGAAAAAACGCAAAGAAAATAAAGTTCCTTCCACCTTAAGCACGGTTGGCAGATCCTTAAGTTTTGTCAAAAAAATTATCAGAATATAACTCCGAAAAGCGCAACACACGACCAGGCGATAGAAAGTAGATGCCACAGGAAATGCTTCATTTGTCTGAGCAGGAAAAAAAAAAGATTTTAGCGAAATCATTTTTACTGAGTAAGAATAAGACGTAACTGAGTAAGAATAAGTGTAACATACATTTGTGGGGAACTTACTCAGGGATAAATCTGTCAGGATATCACCTTTGAGCCCCGGGCTAAGCGATAAATCTGTCAGCATTCCACCACCACGCTCATCACTCCTGTAACTAGAGGTTCCTTTTGAATACCAACATTCTGCTATAGGCCTTGTGACTCCGCGTCGTTTACTTGGGCTGCGCAAGGCAGCGCATATTGATTTTTGATGATGTTTACAGAAAGCTGATGCTCGTACTTGTTTTTAGCTTGAGATAGATCACCTATGACGATTTCAAAACAGATTCAAACTGGAGCTTGAGTAGAGCATTATTGATACGATATCCCCGTAAACAAATAACAGAAATTTATCTTTGCCAAGAAATAAAAGTGTTTAATAAATCTGATGATAAATATAATAATAGTAAAGCTGCATTATTTATTCGAACAGACCTTTCATTTAGGGGTTTCATTGGTTTATAACGGGAAAATACACAGGCTATTTATTCGGTTCGTTAGTTGCCACTGAAATTCGATTGGAATGGGTACAAATAGAAGACATCACTTCTGCCGTGACAGCGGTAAGCTGTAAACGCTATGGAAGTCGTAATTCAAGTCAAGAATGAAATTAAAAGTACAGAAATTTTGGATCTCATCAGAAATTTTAGAAACGAGAAGCAGAATAATATTGAATTGAATACTAGAAAAATTGAATAAGGAAAGGAAAATTAGATATTGAATACTGATATATTAGAGAATTTTAACAGAACCTTTAAATTTAAAGAAAGGTGATATGAAGGCAAATTGCCATGGAACGGAAATTCTCCTGATTTAAAAACAAATTATGTCAGTGGGAAAAAAAAAAAAAAAAAAAAAAAAAAAAAAAAAAAAAAACGAAACTTCATAAATTGGTTAAAAGGCTGAGAAATGATACACTGCTCCATCAGCAGCATCATACGGTCATAACGCAGCATTTAAAAATGGTATGTAGGTGAGGACACCGAATCGAAGTTCTCTGATTGTAACAGAATAACCAGGTTGTTTGTTCGGCTGAGATATTTTAAGGAATGTTTTTGATGCATCCAGCAGCTCAAAAAACGCATTCTCCTCAAATGATTTTTTCTATTCCAGACTGAATTTAAATCCACGTTTATTAGATGCATTAAAACAATTCCAGCAGCCCAACCGGTGTAGTAATACATTGGGGGTACAACCAACCGGTGTAGTGGTTAGGGTCGCTGAATGCCATGCCGAAGGGCCCAGGCTCGAATCCCGGATAAGGCATGGGTGTTTGTAAATGTATAGTGTCGGTGCGGCATGGCGGTACTCTAAATATGCGGCAAGCGGAAAGTCCTGTCGTGTGGTTTGGTGAAAGGAGAGAGGGGGAAGACCTTCGGACCCGTGCCCCGTGGTGCTCTCCATCAAAATTGGAGGGGGGCTGAGCTAAATTGCACTGTCACTTGTTATGGTGCTCAAGGCTGTTGCCAACGGCAGGCGTAATTGGCGTGGCTCGTGACAAGCAGCCACGAAATTTCTCGTGGCTGCTTGCCACGAGGAATTTCGTGGTCTTGGGCTGACTACGTCAGACAAGTGACCATAAGTGACAACAGTAACGACAACAACAACAAAACAATTCCAAGAACATAATACAAGGCTTAATTTTTAAAATCAGAATGGTCGGACCTTATGGAAGATCGTCAGGAAAGAAGAGCAAAAATAATTAAATACAATAATAAAATGAAATTAATCATTAGAATTAAAATTCAGTAAAATAGAAGAGATGCACGACATTGTAAAACTCAAAATCATGCAAATCATAAGCTTCATTTTAACGTAGATTTTGAACGAAGTTTTATCGATTTTGAGAACACTCAGACACAGATCCCGCTTCTTCAGGAGCAAAAAGAATTCCCCTGCTTAAGCCAAAAATAAGGTTACTATTTTCCCTAATTTCGAGATTAATAAAGAAATAATGTAGTGTTAAATTAATGATAAATATTGTTAAATAATGAAGTAATTATGGCTCGATTTATTTGAAGGTTATTATTTTTATTTAGAAATTACGCAGGAATTACAATTCCTTTTAAAAACTAAGAAAAAGCACAGACGGGTACCGCTGAATTTAAGCCGTAAAAGGTACCGACACAAACGTAACACCATTCGTTTTCCAGCACACCGATGAAAAATGGTAAAATGGTTAAAGCGCAAGGCAGGATTTACGTATAAGCTACACAAGCTATAGCTTAGGGCCTCCGCTTTCTTGAGGCCCCCCCCAAAACCCCTCTAGATATCCAAAACTCATATTTGGCACTGACATATAATATCTGGGCTTATAAAATGTCCCATATTAAATAGCTCATAGCCTTATCAAGTCTAAATCCAGCCCTTGTTAAAGCATCACTAAAGAGAATAGAGAGAATGCTAGAAAATATAACAATATGTAAAGGAAATGTTAACGGAAGATGTGAAGTTTATGAAAACAAAGTGAGAAGAGTCCAACACTTTCTGAGAATGCTCCCGTAAATGTAAGGCTCTGTACAAGTGACAATTTTCGCCCCTTGTATTTGGTTACATCGTTTCAAAAAGTCTGTCTTTCCGCGACGAGTCATTAGCGTTTGACGTGTGTGACCAGAGTGATTAGTTCTAGTAAAGATTTAAAGAATGTCATAAATTCACTGCACTTCGGGGAGAATAAGCTTTAATATGTGGGCAAGGGTATTTTCTTTCCGTAGAAGTCTCAGTCTCCGTCCAAACTCTGCGTCCGAAGGAAAGACAAGCATGCATTCATAAGTTAGAATCGACATGTAGACTTATTCTTTATGAAATAAAATTTTCGAATTGAAGATATTTTTCTTCAGAAACTGTAGTTCATTTATACAATGGAAGTGCCGAAGCCGTCATATTTAGTGTTCCTGTGCGCTCGGCTAAAATTACGATTTATCTAAAAAATTTAGAAGTTCGGGAGCCAGGCTTCCGTGACTTCTGGCGTAATTTAAGCACTGACATAATACAGGATTTACCAGTGGCGTAGCTGGGGTGGGGCAAGGGGGGACATCTGTCCCCGGGCGCAGCGTCCAAGGGGCGCCGAATTCATGCTACGAATTTTTTTAATGAACGTTTTATATTCTTGGCACACAGAAAGGGGCACAAATTCTTCAATTGTCCCCGGGCGCTGGAAACTCTAGCTACGCCCCTGGGATTTACTGTCGCCATCGAACAAGCTTCCCTCCAAATTTCTGTATAACCAAAAGATAGGGATGCAGTGAGATTTTTGTAGAGAACTAACTTTGCAGTTGAAGGTTCAGAATCAAGCCTGAAGGTGCTCCGAGTGACTCTTATTTTGTTTGATGCTACAACCAACTCATTTTCCCTTGTCAAACGCTATATAAAAACTCTGAAGAAGCAAAGGAAAGGGCAGTTAAATTATTAAATGAATGCTTATACAAAGACGAGCTAATAGGTGGCGATGAAGACGAAAACGACGCTAAACTCGAGTACAGAATTAAAAAGATAGAAGAATTAAAAACAGATTGAAGGCTGTAAATTTCAGTAAGTGGAAGGGGTTTGGACCGGACTGGATTATTTAGATTGTGGTGAACCACGTGCGCGCTATCTGCCTCAGGGATGGGATGCCTTCGCTGAAGACATTCTAAGGGAAATTGACTCACATTCACGTGACACGTACAGAAAACAATGAAACTGCCCATGCAGCCAGTCCGTTTCCAGAGATTTGAACCCGGGTCAAACTACCTGTCTTCTGAGATTTGAGCGCTTGTCTACTGTAAGACAATTCTGTGAAAATGGAAGGCAAGCTGTATGAATTTGTAGAGCGTTTTTGATGAAAGAATAAAATCTGGATCGTTCTATAACAAAAGGTATTCGAAAATGGAATTGTAAGGAAGATAATCTAAACATTAGGCTTACTGTAACAATTTTGCATAAACCTGGACATTTTTTGCCTAAACCAGGACAGTTTTGAGAAAATACTCACAATAGAGAATAAAAATCTATTAAGATAAGTACCTATGATTGAAAATTCTAAACAAAGAAATTGCTGACAGAAAACAACATTTCCGTTTAGTTAAAAGAGCTTTTAATAACTCAGTTGAACATATCTTACTGTTAAGTTATTAGCATTTATCATTAGCGTAAACCTTCTTTAAAAATTCTTAAAAGTACAGTTCATATTTCACTTTGTCAGTATGATCACAAATATTTAAAAAAAAAAAAAAAAAAAATCCTTTAATTCATTAGTAACTATGCGATTTCTTTCTGGAAGTTTAGAAATTAAATTAATTTAATGTATAGTGCAAAATAGTTGCAAACAATGATTTCCAAATTTGAACTCAACATGCTGTAACAATGACATTGCCAGTGTTATCAACACTAATTGAAACAAAATATCTGAAAAATGAAAAGAAAAGCATACATGGATCTCATAAGCTACATGCTAATATAAATTTTGAAAAGAAATATCTGTATGAAATAAAACATTTAAATTCATTAGGGGGTACATACTATAATCTTGGGGGGAGACATTTAAACAACATTAAAAGTTCTTGAATATACGTAAAATATTTAGATTGGTAACAGAGGGTAAATTTTAATTACCAAATCACCGTTTTAGTCGAGGCTGCGCTATTTTTACTTCTTGTGTATTTGACACCTTTAAAATGTTACCAGATAACCGGGACAAATTGACAAACTGGTCAGGAAGCAGACACCACATCATCAAATCAGGACAATCCCGGTCAAAGGGGAACGTCTAGTAAGCCCACTAAAGGTAAAATTCCGAAGTTAAAATAATCTAAGCTCAAGGAGCAAAATTATGCAACAGTGCGTAGTTCAAATGTTTTGAAAGACACAGCGTAATATACGTCAAACTGATTGGAAGAAGCAGTATCTGCCGACAAGGAAATTTCAAACTATTGGATTTGAAATGTGTGGCCTAAATTGATGTCTAGCTACAGCGACGATAACTTTTTCAGTGCAGATAAGATATTTTTTTTTTAATTAACACTTGATAAAGCTTTTAAATTCAAGAGCAAGAAATTGAATCGGAGTAAAATGAAAAAGAAAGGATTATCATTTTATTAAGTGTTAATACGTACAGAAAC